TTGTATTTACACTTTTTTCACATAACCTCAAAATTTATGTGAAAAATTTAAATAACCATGTTTTTGGTTTTTTATTTTTATCTTTTACAAAAACATTTTTTTTTCACGAAATTTGGTGAAAACACCTATTTATGTCCCAAACACGCTGTAATTTTTTTGATTTGAAATATTTATTTTTTCACCTTATTTTTACTTAATATCGAAAAAGCACCCTAATTTTCAATCGAAAATTCTCACGTCAAAATATCTGCTTTTTTAAAAACGTCGTTGGGCTTTTTCTTCGTTGAAATCTCTACTTTCTGATGGTGTAAAAAAAATATACACTACTATGGTAAGTTTTCCTTTCATTTTTGTTATATTCTCTTCATTTTCCAATGGGTTTCATCCTACTATAATTTTTTTTCACTTTTTACCATTTTTGAAGGCATAAGTACTGGTCTAGAAGTGGAATTGATGAAAATAAGTTCTCACAATTTTGAGTACTAACATATTTGTTATTATAGTATTCACTTATCATTTAAAAATCCTTTCCAAGTTTGCAAGCACATAAATAATTATACATATTCAATCTAGATTTTGCTGATAGTTGTTTGCTATGCATTTGGCAACACTAAATATTTAATTTCCTATACAAGTTCAACTCATTGCGATGCAATCGATTATTTAATTCATTGTCCAAGCTACATTCATAGTTGTAGAGTATTGGAATAACCACAACTAGGGGAATAAACAAAGGTTTTCTGTCGCGTTCCGACAGGGAGAAAATTAAATGAAGATTAAATCAGCTTGTGGAAAAAGCACTCAAAATATTGGTATAGTTTGTTGACCCTAATATACAGGGTGTCTCATAATTAGCTGCCAACCCTGAACAGGCCGATGCTATGATCAAAACTAAGTAAAAAAGTTCATATGAACATGGGTCCGGAAAAGCTTCCTAAGGGCACAGGGACCCATTGAAGAGGGAGGAAAGTAAAATCATTTTTTTGCAATATCTCTCAATCGCGTTGTGATAAATGAATGAAAAAAAAATTTTTTGTTTAAATTTAATCTAATTTTAATAAAATAATAATAATAAAAAATTAAATTAAATAAAAATTAACCCTTTAAATGGAAAAGAGAGGAAAGGAGAATTATTATTATTATTTTTTGTTTAAATTACTATGAAATTGACCAAAGTGGGATTAATTCAAGAGCGATTTTCTCAGAAACCGTTAAAGATAACGATTTGAAACAAGAGTATCTTTTTAACGTAAAACAGTTCGGGAAAACGGAATTTGCTGTCCAATTTGTTAAAAAGTCTAAGATGAAAAAGTTACACACGCAAAGTACCAAGGGCCCCCCCGTACCCACCCCAATGGACCTTGTGGAAATAAATGGATTAGTCCATCAAATTGCTCATCAAAATTTAGCTGTGTATACCAAATTTCATTCATTTATCACAACGCTATTGAGATATTGCAAAAAAATGATTTCCATTCCTCCCTCTTCAATGGGTCCCTGTACCCTTAGGAAGCATTTCCGGACCCATGTTCATATGAACTTTTTTACTTAGTTTTGATCATAAAATCGGCCTCTTCAGAGTTGGCAGCTAATTATGAGACACCCTGTATAATTTATGTTCGGACAATAATAATTTTGAAAATTCAAAGATATTCCTAGATGTTTTGCTTATATAGTAAATTAATTTTTGTGAATGATTTGTTGTCGACAAGAATTTTACTCAAATTTAAAAATAAATATTAATACAAATTGTATTGACAGATTTTAAAAAGTGTTTTGGCACTTAATATTATTTTCAAAGTGCAAGGTTAAAATACGTGACTATCGCTTCACCTGACATATTTTCTCCGTCGACTCTTAATACAATTGATTACCTCTCTTAATAATTTATAGTTTCATTAAACAAGTGCAGCCAATATAAACTGCTGACTTCATTTCTGTGAAAGTATGATTTCAGTTATAGGCCTATAAATTCTTCAGTGGAAATCGAGTAAATTTTTTTACGGATATAACGCACCCAAATAGAATTTTAATTCAATTTAATTATTCAAGTAACTGATTTTGTTATTACGTATAACATCTGTGTATAATACTTTTTTATTGGGATGTTCATTAAAACTTACGTTCTCATGATTGTTTAGAAAGGACAAAGCGTAATTGCTTGATTTCCGTGTTAAAATCGCATATAAATATCCTAGATAAATAAAAATATTTGGATGGAATTTGTTATTCACATGTGGTGACTAACGTAAACTTTGATAAAGTTTGTTTCATTGATTGTTTACAAATGAATTAATTATATAGTCAGTTATTTAGACTGGTAAATTTTGAGTTGAATATATTGTTTACCTTTTGTATTTACTTTAGGGAAAAATTCAAAAAACATTTAAAGGGTTTTTAAATTACTGTGCACTTAGAGGACTTTTAAGAAACAGTTGAAGTATGTTGTGTAATGTTAGTTTTTTAACAGCTGTAAAGTCAATAATTTATATGACAAAAATGTACAAAATCCAGTTTAGGTCATTTTTAAGCATTTGGTGAAAATTTACATAGACTGCATACCTATTTTTCATTGTGTATACCAAACCTTTGATATGAAGAAACACCTTTTGTTAAATTTGTCAAACCTCCACTTTTTCTACTTTTATTAATTAGCAAAATAAGTCTCATTTATTTTACACCTTATTAAATAGCAATTTTGGTAGAAACGCGACGTTATTCTTTTTTATTTAATCTGAAAGTCAGCTATTTCGAAGGCCATTAAATGTAAAGTCAAACACCTGAAGAAAATTATACCAAGTGAACCATTTTTTACGTTACATTTTGAAAACTTAAATCCTACCAAACATTTTAAATTCGTATGGAACACCCCGTGTAGGCATTGTAGGGCTTACAGTTTTAATTGTCTCAAATATTTGCGGTTTTCTTACATTCTTAAGAATATTTAACGTAATATTCTTGAGAATGTAAGAAAACCGCAAATATCTGAGAAAATTGAAACTGTAACACTTACAGTGCCTATATCGGTGAAAAGAGAATTTGATTTTTTATATTATGGTGCAAAAAATACAGGGTGTTCCATTTGAATTTAAAAAGTTTTGTCGGTTTTAAGTTTTCGAAATGTAACGTAAAAAATGGTTCACTTGGTATAATTTCCTTGAGATGATTTTAATAGTGAAAGGTAGTGCATCTTATATTCTGTTTGTATTCCGAAAAGCAAGTGGAAGCTTCCAGAACTAAGAAAATTATAGGGAATTTTCGAAACGCGAAACGATCTGTCAAAATTTTTACAAAACCTCGATTATCTCGAAAACGCTTAAACTTAGTTGAAGTTTAAGTTAAATTTAGGAAGCTCTAACATTTTTGACTTATTTTTAATTTAACTTGTCGATAATGCAATAATATACAGGATGTTCCCTCACTACAGGGATCTCGGAAACGGTAAGAGATACGAAATAGTTTAAATGGGACAAAGTTGCATAATCAGGGGACCAACATTATGTCTCTAAAAAATCAAGGCTAACATGATTAATTTTCGAAATATTTGAAGAAATCGAAATTTTGGAAATCTTTTTTTTTTTCATTTCAAGCTTGTTTGGGGTGATATTGAAGAAAGAAGAACACTTTCTCATGGCAACTTTTTGCCCTCTATCGAATGAAAAAATCAGTTTTTATATGTAACGTTTCGTCTCTCCAGGACCATCATCAACTTCATTTTTTTAAATACGACCGTGAAATTTCATTACATTTTTTACAAGGCAATACTGTACTGTCTCAGCCCGAACCAGATTCAGACGTTTTGTCTCGAAAATATCATCTTCAATGTATTTGTTCCAATATCTAATTTTTTTATTTACATGTTTATTGAATTATCGTACACTTTAAGTGTCGATAGACCCTCTGAAATCCACCTAGTTATATAAACTGTTACCATCACACGTTACAATAAAATATTATTAGAGTTTTAGTATTTAAAATTTAGATGAATTTGGAACGAATACATACATTGAAGATGGTTCTTTCGAGACAAAACGTCTGAATTTGTTTCGGGCTGAGGCAGTACGAGTACAAATGAAGTTGATGATGGTCCTGGAGAGACGAAACGTTACATATAAAAATTGATTATGCCATTCGATAGAGGGCAAAAAGTTACCATGATAGTGTTCTTCTTTTTTCAATATCACCTCAAACAAGGCTGAAATGAAACAAAATTGGATTTCCAAATTTTCGTTTGTTTTCAAATATTTCGAAAACTAATCATGTTAGCCTTGATTTTTTAGAGGCATAATGTTGGTCTCCTGATTATGCAACTTTACTCCTATTGAAGCTACTTCGTATCTCTTACTGTTTCCCAGATCCCTGTATAGTGAGAAGCGAATTTGTGTGTTCCATTTAAAATAACGAAGTTGACATCTACTTCCGGCATAACTGGAAGTGCTACTTTACTAAGAGATAAACCCCGGAAGCAAAATTTCAGTCATATTGTTTGGTTTCTCTGAAACGTTTAATAAGACACTTACCCTGTACATAGACAAGAGAAATTTGTTTTTTATTCAGCGCTAAAATTCAGAAATTTCAATTGAGCGACTCTAGAACTGTTCACAGAAATACCTACGTTATTTATATTAAATATAAATTCGCCTTGTGCATTATAAAACGTATTACCAGTCACTGTTTTGTAAACAGGTAAAGTTCAAATATTGCAATAATCACGGATCACCTTGTAAATCGCTTCATGCGTACGCTGCATGCAATTTAAATAACCGCTGTTATTAGTGCCCAAATAAAAAAACGCTCACAACCCGTTACCGGAAGTCGGGGCAATTTGTTTAAATCCGCAGCGCTCGGGCCTTATACCGACACACATGCGACACACATTACCAGCGAAACCGCGGACTCAAATCTCGATTCATTCAAATTACGCATCTCCGCTCGAGAGTGCACCGCGCGCCTTGCAACAAAACATCCTCGCATCGCAACAACAACAACAATCGTCTTACGTGAGATCCGTGCGTCCAGCGTCCATCCTGTCAGCCTGATGGCGGACGGCCAGTTTGGAACACATCAACGAGAAACGGAACGAGAACGGTGCACTATCCCGCCGATGGACAAAACACTACCAGGGCGTGTGTGTGCGCTCCGCTGGCTCCTCTCTTGGCTCGAAAGCGCTCCTTTCACGCACTCTCAGTGTAGTTTGAGATCTGTTCTCGGGTCGTCATGGTTACGCGGCCGTTATTGTTATTTGTATTGTGGAACGCACCTAGCGAAGACGAACTGTTGGCAGTGATCGAATTTTGGCAACACGATCTTTGATTTGTCGACCTTACGGAACTTACGGATATATAGTTGGTGTATTCCGCATCTGTACTACTACGGGTGTTTTAAATTTAAAAATTTAAAGTTTTATGTTTAAATTTAATTACGTATTATTGACAAACGCGAAAAAGCAACTTCACAAAGATATCGAAATAATAATTGGGTTTTTTTATATACCATCCTGTATATTTTCATATACAGGATGTCACCTAGAATGGGGGTCATATTTATACGCAGGCTGCCTTTGAGTTTTAGAATTAACGTGGCAGTTTGTTTTTCACCCCTTTACCAACCCGTCATATCATACCAAGTGTGAAACTAGCATCAGTAACGGCTTTCTAACTGAATAGCGGAAGCTAATCTTCGTTTCCTTTTAAACTGTTCACGATTTAATTGGCTGCTGAAGTGGCCGAATTTGAAAAAAGAGTAGAAAATACTGTATTTTGTTAAGAATTTTATAATTTTTTAATATTACCTGTTTTATCCTTCCCAAACGTCCCTACCTATACAGGAAATTTGGAAAAGTTGGTACAAAATTTAAGGGGGTGAAAGTATACTCACGGTTAGTAAAAGCGTGATGGTTCATGGTTGTAAAAAAATCGAAAAATTTATGTTAGAGGTAGTTAGAAAACTATCCTTATTTATAACCGATTTTGATGAAACTTATGGTAGTTAAAGACCCTTACGGTATGATTATTACCTACAATTTTCATTCCATTATCTTAACCAGAAAGAAAGTTATTTTAAAAAATATCCAAATGATAAGACCCCTTTGGAGGGCCATATCTCAGTAACGGCGCTCCAGAGAACCAATGTTTATAGGAACTTTTTTTACTATTTTTGGGTATACGTTCACTCCCTTAAATTTTGTACCAACTTTTCCAAACACCCTGTATACTTCACGCAGGTCAATGTCAGAAGTCACTGACACTGAGTTTCGCAAATACAGGGTGATTCACAAGCCTCGTATTCTTTGATGAATTTTAAACTTCAAATAATATTTTCAATTTTTTTAAATAATTTAAAAACTAGTAAGTGAAATAATTTGAAATTGGGCACATGTACTTATATAAACATTGTCCAAAATCTGAAGGCTTTTCCTGAAATTCACATGAAAAAATATCTTTTTTTTGACTCCCTATATCTCGAAAACGGTGTGTTTGCGCGCCCACGTTAATAATAACTTTTTTTCTTAAAATGAGCCAAAGAATCACACTCTTCAATTTCCGACATAATGTTTGTATATTTAATTTCGGGCAATTAGCAGTTTTAAGATTATTTTCGATATGACGACCAGTGCAATAAGTTTTCAGATGAAATGCGGAAATAATACCTCGAAAATTACTCATGTTACAAACAGATTAATAAGAAATTATATTTTCTTAAAAGAAATTCTTTATTTTTATTGAAAAACAAACACAAAATAGAAAAATTATGGCCGAAACATGCTTTGTTTCCGAGATACAGTGTTTAAATTTTAATTTTTTATTTATTTTTATTAATTATTTCAAAGTTTTAAAGATATTGACTCGAAATTTGAAAAACGGAGGGATAAATGTTAATTTTTTGGGGTGATATTTCTACTAGCACCAGTGGCGTGCATGCGAGATTGCCACATTTTTTATAAAAAAAATGGTACGCCACTGACTTTTTCCCGTTTTGAAATTTTTTTTGAGGAAAAAATAAAACATATTTTATTGCAAATTGTGTATTTCTATTCATTATCTAGTAGGTTGCTGTCAATATTTCTAAATAAAATACAGCTATTAAATTTCGAATCAATATCTTTAAAACTTTGAAATAATTAATTAAAAAAAATAAAAAAATTAATATTTAAACACTCTGTGTCTCGGAAACGAAGCATATTTCGGCCTACGTTTATATGAACTTTTTGTCACAAAATAACTTCGGCAACCACCCCCTAAAATATTTCGCAATAACATCCTGTATAATTCGAAATACTTACGCCTATTGGGTTTTATCTTCAATAAATAAATTTCAGTACAGCTATGTTGTGAATAAATATTGATTTTCTTTTTTGGCGACAATATTGAGGCCTTACAATCAGAGGACTTTAAGGGCCCCATATTCTTTAAATAGTGTTTTCCGCAAAGACAAATAATTTCAAACATTTAATAACTGAATAATCTAAAGCTTATCAAATAATAAGAATGTTATGTCATGCCACCTGAGTATTTTCAAAGACGCCGCAGTAAAACGAATAAACACGTGCAAAAAACGATCAAACCATCAAGGTTTTAGGTACTGAAATCTACAAAAATACTAACTTTTTTTATATATAATTCAACATGTAAATATTCTTATAACATTTACTTGCTTAGTCCTACATATAAAATTGTTTACTTTTATTTATAAGTACGTGAAAATAATTCTTAAAATGTGGGGTTAGGATAACAGCAAACACATGTTTTACAATCGCTTTTTTTAGTTATTATTTTATTTGAGTAAAATTAAATGGTAACAATGAATAAACAAAACATCAAGGATTTTATTTTTGTGCTTACTTTCGTTCTACACGTTTTACTTTTAAAGATTTCAGTACCTAAAAACGCCAGAAATTTCACTATTTCTCGGCCAGGAATATGGCCACCTTAAGGGCAATGTTTACATAACATAATATTCCAAAAGTGGAATATTTTAATGTTTAATGTGAATGGTTTTTCAAATATTTGAAATGCATTCACATATTGTATAAAATAGAAACTAATAATATTCAGCAAATTATTAAAAATGTAAGATTTTAACAAATTATTAACTGCACATGTATCTGAATGTGCAGATGTTAGCGACAACAAATAATAAAATTTTATTGCGGACTTAGCGGTGTAAACACATTAAAATATCAGTATTATGTTATGCATATTAAGAACTTATCATTTACTATTTTAATATTACAAATAAACTTTTCGAATTCAAAACACGTAAATGAAATAGCAATGGTAAAGTAGATACTGTACATTAATTTTTAAGTATTCACGATGCGAGCTTGTAAACTAATAACTTGTACTATTGATTAATGACAAAAATATCTCAACAATTCTTAGATAAATGTTAAATGTTAATGTTATAAGTTCAATATAAAACAAATAGATAAAAATTATGTCAGTATATTTTTTAATTTTTTATTTAATGATAATAAAAATGAAACTGTAAAAAAATTATGCAAAAAATTTTTGAATTTGAATTCAAAATTGAATTTTTTTTTTTGATATTTGATGAGAATTTAACGCGAAATTATGAGAAAAATAACGCAAACTATTTTTTTCATCTTAATGGTTAATCGATTATGTTTAAGAAGCAATAAATCTACTCCTTTAATTTTTTATAAAACTTTGATGATTCGGGAAAGGAAAACGGTTCGACCGCTCGATTTCAAAATTTACAGGCAACATGGGCCTATATTGAGCTAAAAAAACCTACAAACATTGATAATTTTCACAATATTCGCAAAGTAGTCGTTGATTTTCCAAAACACCAGAAAAAGTTTTCCGTTGGCTGTGCGAGAGAGATATGATGATCGATGATAAAAAAAAAGGTGACTTTTCACTCAATGAGAAATAATCGTACAGAAAAAGAAACTAAATTGAAACTGACGAATCAGGCTAAATAACCCTGGTATTGATTAAGCCAGAAATAATTTTCTTAGCCCATGGGTACTTTTGAAAGAAAATATTGTAAAATTTTATTCTTATTTGTTTTGATTACGCCGAGAGTGATGCTCAAAAAAATTTTTCATCTCAAGGTTTCAAAACTAGAATCTTCAAGCTTCAAGATGCTTCTTTTTTTTCTCGATACGACCATTATTCACAGTTTCAAAAATCACTAAAAAAATTTGAAAATTTTTCTGCTCCCTTAATTTTTTTCTTTTATGTTCATGGTAACCATTTTTTCTAAATTATTTTGGGCACTACCGCCCCCGACGAGCCGCTACTGATACAGTAGCGAAAGCAGAATACCAGCAGTTCCGTGTACGTCTGCGAGCAACTTTGTCAAGTAATTCCATCAACTGGAACCGACGTCGCTTGCATCACTTTTGGGACAGATGCGACGAGGCTCAATCCAACTTTACAACCTCGGTGTAAATTTCTCATTAACTTGCAAGAGGACCTATTAAAAGTATTTGTCGAGGAATTTGCATAGTGATTAATTCCTAATTAAGGTGGTATGCATTTTTCATGCCAGCCCTTAATTGGGTCGTGGTTTCGATATGGAAAGAAAAGTTCAAATCTGATGTGCGTGGGTGTAACTAATTCATTGAAATTCTACAGAAATTAAGTCGGCAATTGTTAGAACTCTAATGAGCTTATGAAACTTTTAGCATCAATCCCTTGTAGTGTCCAAATATAAGTCTAGAGGTAATAATTTGACACGAGCATTGAAATTAAAGAAAATGTATTGTAATAGAATGAGTTGAGCCAAAGATTTTTAAAATATCAAAGGGAAAGGTGAATTTTTGAAGATAAAATTAGTAAAATTGATTTTAAAGAAAAAATTATAAGTTGAATAAGTGTGACCAATAGGAGTACAGTAAATGGTGGAAATTGAGAAAAGAAAGAGAAAATAAATAAAATTAGTACATGATCAATTAAAATGTTTGTAAAAAAAGGAATTACAAACAAAATTTAAAGAAATATTAATATAAAGTATATTCGAAATTAAAAAATTGTGATTGGTAATTAAAATTTGGATTACTAGAATTAGAAGGGGATTTATAAAAATTAATGGAATATGAAAAGAAAAGAGGGATGTAACTAACAAGAAGAAAATAATAA